TTATCTCAGATTCTCCAGCATCTGCAGTTCCTACTATCTCTAAGTGCCTGTTAACTTTCTTTCTGTATTTATTGCTTTTAAAAACCAACCTCTTCTGATATTGAATTAAATGGCCTGTAGTTACTAGGACCGTTCTTACATCCTACCTATCAGCCTTGTTGGAATGTACTTAGCCTGTCCTGAAAGAAAAAACTCCTTAAAATCATGCATTTCCTGTTATGGTTTTCCCTGCCAGTATTTGGTTTCATTTTGGCCTGGTTAGATGCCCTCTCATCCCTTTCCAATCTTTACCATTGCAGTTCTGCATTACTAATCCAAACCTTAGGAAAAAACAATCACTCTTACATAGACAATAGATAACAATTCCTCAATGACAATTTGCCAACTGGGCCTATCTCATTCCCATCACCAAATCTAGCAATATCTCTGTTTCAGTTGAACCCCAAGAACATTTTAGTCAAAGAGGTTCTGAACACACTTCAGAAATTCTCCCCTCCTTTTCCTTTTCTCCACCATCTTCCCAATTCATACATAAGTAACTAAAGTTCCCCAAAATCAACATGCTTTAGCCTCCACGCATGGTAGCTCTTCCCTAAGTTTGGAAGGTGAATTGTAATCTTCCAAAACAAAACACACTATCTGCCATCTTTTACAAAGCCAAAATCCTAGGCCATTATGTATTGAGTGAATCTCGTATACTGTGTACTGGAGACAATGAAAAGTAAAATTATCTGTACGTGGTCTCCAATTACACTCCTGAATGCTCATTATAAAATATTGATCCAGAGTACTGTCCTAGAGTGACACGGACATCAATAACTCTAATCTCATCTCACCTGGGTTTATAAATCAGGAAGGGGTATATAAGAATTTCATGGGTTTAATGGGGTGTCTTGTTTCTCTACAAACTGTGCTATAAAGACTCACCATTCCACAATTCCTCATAACACTTCATAACAGTCCTCACCAGGTCCTTGTCTTCTGACATGCTTGTGAAGTAATTAATGTTTCTAGTCCTCAGGAATTAGTGGAATTGGCCATTTAGTTTCAATTTAATACTTTGTAACAGGAACAAAAATGAACCACTCAATAACCATACAAGACTTGAGCAAATAGAATGGAAATTTTCCAGTTGGCCAAAGTTGCAACAGCTGTTCAAATGAGTGGGTCACATTGTATTCAAAATGTGTTCGTTACAGAGGTAGATGATCTCAGTTTCAGCTGAAGCATATCTTTTAGTAAATATGTGTGGAGAATTTGAAATTGGACAAGACATTGACACCTCCATGCTAAATAGTGACTAATATTCACTAATGCTCATCCACTCAGAAAAATTAGCAGGCCCTCATTCATGGGACTATATCTAACTAAAGTATTAACACTGTTGGGGATGTGGAAAATATGGTTCACACCACTGGGAACAGCAGAAATTAGAGCAGCAATCAGCTAATTTTCCTCAAACTGAATAAAATGAATTGATATAATGGTCGTGCAATGCGACAAATAATTCACCTCATTAACTAGAGCTGCTTACTGACAGGATTATGATTTTCATTGTCGTACCTTTTTGTTTTCTAGGACCAGGCTGCAAAAGATATAAAAAGGTTGGATGAAAAGGAGTTCGAGAAGAAAAATGCAAAGTAAGGAACACTTCTACTCTTTAATTTCCACTCTTTAATTTCTCACAACTCATGTGTAATTGCATTGTTACAGTAAGCTGCGCATTATTATTCACCTGTCAGAACTAATAAATATGTCTTAGTCTTCTTACGTAAAAAGGAAAGAAACATAAAATTGACAATCCTTTTCCAGTACAGTTCATGTTTAATTACATAAAATAATCATAATTGAAATCAGGATAGCCAAACAAAATGCTTCCTAAGCAAGTTTCTTACTGAAAAGAAACACAGAGAGTCTAGGGGAATCTTTTACTGCATCATGGAAATAATGATTCCTGCAATGGAAGATGCCCATGAACTGGCTTGTGTTGGCTTTGAAACATTGATTAGTTTTCTCAACATTTTCAAAAAAAAAGTTGTTACATTTTTATGGCACCTTAAATTGTAATGAAAATGTAGAAATGGTTTACACAGTGTCATCTCCAGTAATGCAAGCTATCCTTACAGTGAGAATATGAAGCACAAATCCTTCGGAGAATGGCTTAATTCCACAAACTACAGTGAGTTGGGAGGGGCGCTGAGAAAGGAAAAGTCAGCAGTGGGGCTGGGGGAGAATACGGGTGTTAGACCATCCTTGAAAAATCTTTGAGGTACATCTGAATTAATTAGTGAAGAAAATTCAGTCATTTGAATACAAGTTTGAATGCTGGAATGAGAAGGATCTGCCACCAAATCCTACTATTCCGATGGAGCCAATAAGTAGGAATATAGGAAATTGGAAAATGTCTCTCAAGCCTGTTTTGCCATTCAACTAGATCAAGACTGAATGTCTGTGTAAATGCCATTTTTCCATTTCCTTTTGATATTCATAGTATATTCAAATTCAGTATACTTTGCTTCATGCTTCATTCAAAAAGCCAAGGTAGCTAGAAGACTTGATTTGAGGATCCTGATAAGTTTTTACAGTAATAATAATGATGAAAATTTGTGCATCTGTTTTATTTTGTAAAATTGGAAAACTTTTAATACATGCTTCCTGTTTAATGGATTTGTAGTAGAGTATTTAAGTAGGATGTAAAGACTGATGGGTCATTTTGGATGGCATAGAGTACTTAAATGGATGTACTGTATTTTCCTTAGCCTCAAGTTGCCCCAAAAGGAAAGAATTAGCTCTGGTGCATAGGGTTGATAGCAATCCATGTCCATAGACAGATGGAACAGGATTTTCAGTTATAGAGACTCCACAGACTTTTAAGAATGGTGGGCAGGACCTGGTTCCAGAATTTCTCTGTGCCCACATGTTCCCTTTACCAGTTCCCCTCTCAAACCACTGCAGTTTGTGGAATCGAGCCACCTTCTAAAGGATTTATGCCGCACAGTCTCATAAAGCAGTTGTGAGCTATAATCTGGATGCAGAAACCTTTTGAAAGATGACTTCAAAAGGTTTTACCTATTCCCTGCCACCCACTCGCAAGGGACTTCATACCTTCAGTACCCACTTGGGCTGAAGTCAGAAGGCTAAGGCATATTGTGAAAGAGTAATCATAGTCTGAGATCAGGGCTTCAAGTATTGGTCCACTTGATAAATCATAGTTAATATCCCCACAAATTTTTCTTTATTACTTGTGATTTTTTTTTAAACCATGCAGCAAAGGTAGTTGAGAATATTGACCTAATCTGTTCAGATATATGACAGCGCCATATATATTGAATATTGATGAGGTGTCGAAATGAAATCATCTTGAATTGTTTTTGCTGAACAAAAGTAGCACTGAAACTACTAAGAACTGTGGTTGTCTAAATCATTATTTTAGCATCACTTCATAGTTGTAATTTTTGCAATTTGAATGTGATAATATCCAGATTATTCCTTTGATAGTTCACAACAGTAAATGTTATTCAAGAATATTATGTTTTATTTATGTAACATGGTACTAATCAAATAAAGTATCAGCAAGTATTACTTTGTAGAATACTGTTACTTTTATGTAATTAAAATTTGTCCCTTAAGAAAGATGCTGCACAGAAATGCCCACATTATTGGCAAATCTGTGAACAGAAGAATCAATTTGTTATTTGTATCTCCCTGATTAAAACAGGAGTAAAATGTGTAAAGATTTTCAAGAAACCAGGAACTTCTGGCTATTCACACTGTGATCATTTCATGCTTTGCTGCATTTGCGCTGGGTCTGTTGAACACTTGTAGGGAGTTGGTTTTTTCCCTTTGTTTTTGCAGGGGTATAAGGGATGACATTGAAGAGGAAGATGACCATGTGAGTTCTTGAGTTGTCTTTTTTGAATATATTGAAAATAACCTTTTAAACAAATAATGTGGATTGTTGTTCATTCACTGTAGCCTTTGGTCTGGATCAAATCATGTCATGCAGCCATATCTCTCAAGAGATGATTAATTCCACCTTATTGTGACTTGAGGTTTTTCAATAAGTCAGGTCCACATTGTGAAAGAGAATTCTGCTTTGCTGTTCCATGAGGAGCATTTTTTCAGGATCTACTGCACTGGACCACAAATATCTAGTTATTAGTGATGCCTTAAATTGACATTTCTAGCGATTTACTTGTGGTTCAGATGTTGTCAGTGGACTGTCTTTCCTGTCAGATGCTTTGACTGAATTCCACTCATCACAGAAAGGATTTTCTTGACTTATGAAAAAAGCTCAACATGTCAACTCCGATTCATATCAATGACTTGGTGCTAACTCTAGGCTGCAGTGTAAGAATCTGTTTGTAAAAGTGATTGAAAGTTTTTTGTTATTGGTATTCCTGTACTCCAACTTTTCAAAAACAGTGTTCTTGGTAATTTTATTTCCATTTAGCAGCCCTTACTAGCAAAAGGGATGAGTCAGCTAACATAAACTATGCCTTTCATATCATGAAAGAGTTGATGCATGCTTGTTTGCATTTCACCCTTGTGCTACTTCTCAGGCATACCGAGTAAAAGATAAATCTTATACTAGCTGCAGTGTCTGATTTGCCTCTGGTGATCTGTCTAACTGTAGGTGTAACTAGCTGAAGAAGTATCATTAATATTTGTTGTGGTTTAATAATGCCATAGTTTTGTTATAAGCTCTGATTTTTTTCAAAACGAATTCTGAAAGGAAAACAGTGAGAACTTTTTTTCTGATTGACTATCATTTCAAGTATCTGCCCTTAACTGTATGTATCGTTGCTTTTACTATCTAGTTGCATCTGAACACAAGTATCAGGCAGTGATCACTGAAATAAGCTGGGGCAGGAGTGAGGTAGACATAGGGATAAATTAACATTTTAAAAAAAGTAAAATTGTGTGATGTGGTGTGAAAAGAGTGGGCAGAGGTGAAGGGTAGAGAGAGCAAGCAAGCGGTGAGAGGCATTTAAGGCATGGAAATGAAGCAGTGCAAATGAGATTCAAAGTTGGAGGGATAATTTTATATCCTCTCTCATGGCATGTTTGAAGGTGGGAGGGAGTCATACAAGTATCCCACCTAAGCCAAACTTAACTCTTGGGTAGGAAGACCCATGGATGGACTTCCACCTAACTATCAATTTATGTCTATTAATGACCACTTAAAAGCTTCATCGTGTTACTGCCTGTAATAATCCATCTGTGAGTAAGCCTGTTATCATGTGATATGCAGGGTATGTAAAACTGCAGGCTGCTAGTGGGAGTCATTGTTCCACAGTGCTGCTTAAAAGACCTAGCATTGGAAAGTGGGCTACCGGCTGAGAGGTACCTGCGCTCATGCTGCCCACCTTCCTCCCCTGTGGTCTTGCATAGTGCCACCTGTCATGAAGCATCTGTGGCTTGGATTGCTCCTCAGTTATGGATTTTGACTGCTGCTGTTTCTGCTTTCAATGTGACACTGAGCAAAAGAGCTGCCAGTTTCTGACTGAATAGCTCAAAGAGGGCGGCTAATCCATTCTGGGCCCATGATACTGCAGAAGGGTCTGCCAGTGGCCATTATGTGCCCAAGAGGATCAGATATGATCTTGGAGAGAATGGGTGTGTTGCATATTCTCCAGCTGGCTATTGGGTCCTTTGACAACTCCACAAAATCCTCCCCCGATCCCCTGGAATGATCGCATGAGATACAGCTAATTGAAAGAGGCAAGTATTCTGAAATAGCAATAGAGACGCAGTGGAAGAAATGATGAGATGAGGAAGAACAGAAACTGAAATATTGAGACAAATAGGGTTGAAGGAGGGGAGATGCACACATTGAGGGAGCAAAAGGTATATACTGAGGGAGGGATGGGGGGACATTGAGCTGAAGGATTAAAGGTGTAGAGGTTGGCTGATTAATATGTGAGGGCAATACAGCAAAACAATGTAAAAACAAATATGAGGAAAAGTGCAGAAAATACTGAAAATGCATGGCTGCTCCTGTCAGAATATTTCAGGAGTAACTCTTTTATCATATACGTGTATAAATCACAAATTGTTACTTTCTGTGAAGTTCCAGAACATTACCATGACACAAGTACATGCTAATAATATTAAGTCTTTTTGGGTTATACTATAAACTGGTGAGAAATTTGCCATGGAGTGTGTGGTATGTGTTTCAACATTCTTACGAAAGCACCGGTTGCTAATTTTATTAGACACAACTAAAGGAGAAAACGCTTCCCTCAGTCACAATACCACAGCTAACAATATTGTGGCAGCTGACAGGCACTGCATACTGATTTCAATGCTTGTCATTTCAGGGTGAGTGCCCTTTCAAATAATTTTTACACTATTTATTTTTATGTTGAATGTACAATCAACTTTATCAATACAGTTTGAAAGTATTGAATTTTCCAGGTGATTGATGTAGATAGAGGAAGCATTCAGGACACTGAGTTGGTGTTACGTTCTCTCTCCAGTTTGACTTGTGGATTACGTTTATGTGCAGGAAGCCTATTTTCGGTACATGGCTGAAAATCCAAATGCCGGTGTGATTCAGGAGGAGGAGGATGATATTGAATATGACAGTGATGGTAATCCTATTCCTCCACAAAAAAAAGTCATTGATCCATTGCCTCCTATTGATCATTCTGAGGTAAGTGGAAATCTGGAAAGTTGTAGAAGTGTTAGTGGGAAAGCACTTCAGTGATAGTGACTATAACTCAGTAAGGTTTAAGGTAGACATGAAAAAAGGCGAAGATGGACCAGAAGTAAAGGTTTTGAATTGGGGGAAGGATGATTTACATATGATAAAATAGCATCTGGCCAAAGTGGACTGAGAACAGCTACTTTTTGGAAAGTCTACATGGAAGCAGTGTAAAAGGAAATAAATTGCAGAGCCAATGTGTTCCTATAATGGTGAAGAGTTAGACCAAACGTTCTGGGAAACCTAAATATAGAGGAATGTATTGGACAAGGAAAGAAAGAGAAGATTATGGTCGATACTGAAGTTTCAGAATACCGGAGTACATACAGAGAGTGCAGGGGTTACTAAAATAAGAATTTAGCAAAGTGAAAAGAAATCATGAAAAAGCACTGATGGATAAAGTAAGTGAAAATCCAAAGGCATTTTCTAAGTATATTAGGGGAAAGAGTATAACCAGGGAAAGGAAGGGAAGGGGCCATTAGGGGCCTAAGCAACAAACTGTGTGGGAAACCAGAAAATATAAATGAGACTTTAAATGACTACTTTACATTTATACTCTAGATAGAGAAGAGTAGTGTAGGTATAGAAATCAAGGAAGGTGTGCTTTACAAATGACAATTGAAAGGGCAGAGATATTAGGAGTTTTAGCAGGTTGCAATTGCATAGGTCTCCACGTCCAGATGAGATGTATCCTAGGCTGCTGTAGGAGACAAGGTGGAAGAATGCAGGGACCTCAGATTAATTCTCACATCCTCTCTGCACATAAGAGGTGCCAGAGACCTGGAGGACAGATAACACCATTATTCAAGAAGGGTGATAGGGATAAAGCAGAGAATCTGGATCTAACATCAGTGGTGGGAAACTATTGGAAAAAGTTCTGAGGTACAGAGTTAATCTCTACTTGGACTGCAATGATTAATCAGGAATATTCAGCATAGCTTCAACAGAGGGCAGTCCTATCTGACATATTTGAGTTTTTTGTGGAGGTGACTAATTGTCTGGATATAGTCTACATGGACTTTGGTAAAACCTATGCCAAGATTTCATAGAAAACTGGTAAAGAAGGTGAGAGCCTGTGGTATCCAGGGCAATTTGCCAAATTAGAACCAAAGCTTTCATAGTGACAGGCTGCAGAGGTAATGGTTGAAGAATGTTTTTGTGACTGGAGACGTTTGACCAGTGGCATTCCACAGGGTTCATTGCTGGGTCCCTTGCTATTTGTAGTGTATATTAACAATGTAGACATGAATAGAGGCGGTATGATTAGTAATTTTCAGAATTCATGAAAATTGTGAGATAAATAGTGAAGAGGAAAGCTTTAACAGCAGGAAGGTGTAGATGGGCTGATTAGATGGGCGGAACAAAGGCAGATGGAATTTAATCCTGAAAATTGTGAGATGATATATTTTACAGGACTATCAAGGTAAGGGTGTCCAGGACAAATAGTAGAACCCTAGGAAGTGCAGATAATTACAAGAGCCTTTGTGTACTTGACCACAGATCCTTGAAGGCAACGAAAGGCAAATATGATTGTTAAGAAGGCCTGTGGGATTGGGAGAGAATATGATTGATGAGAGTATGGACATTATGATGGAGCTGAGTTAAGACATTAGTTAGGCCACAACCGGGGTACTGTGTGCAGTTTTGGTCATCAGAAGATGGGAAGGATGTGAAAGCATGAGAGAGTGTGCAGAGAGATTCACAAAGATATTATTTGGCTGGAAAGTTTTAGTTATGAAGAGAGATTAAATAAATAGACTGGGGTTGTTTTCCTTAGAACAGAGAAAGCTGAGGGAGGGATACAAAATTATGAGGGGGGAAGGATGGGGTAGATAGGAGGAAATTTTTTCCCTTAGATGAATCAATAACCAGGGTGCGTTCTTTTTAAACATAAAGGACAGGATGGTTAGAGGGGATTTAAGGAAGATTTTTTTCTAAGGAGAGTGGTGGGTGTCTGGAGAACACTGCCTGAAAGGATGGCAGAGGTAGAGACAATCGCAACATTTGAGTATTTAGATGATAATTTGAAGTGCCAAAGGATACTCTGCTGTGGGCTAAGTGCTGGAAAATGAGCCTAGAGTAGATAGGTGCTTTGATGACCAGTGTGGACAGGATGGGCTAAATGGCCTGTTTCTATGCTGTAAGGCTGTATGAAAAGTTTCCAAGCTGCTCATTGTCTGGCTAATAATGCGATGCTGGAAATTTGAAACGAATGCTGGAGAAACTCAGCGGGTTTGGCAGTATCTGTGGAGAGAAAAACAGAGTTAACATTTAGAGTCATAAGAGTTTGGAAGGGTCATACCAGACTTGAAACGTTACCTGGGTTTCTCTGTCCACAAATGCTGCCAGACCTGAGTTTCTCCACCATTCTTCATTTCTGTCTGTTGGATTCTGTTAGAGTTCTATTCTATTTGATGTCGTTTGAAATGGAGTATCAGCTGTAAACAACTGACTTGGCTGGTGAAGACAGTTTGATCCCGTTTCTCCAGAACACACTAATCTGCCTCATTAGGCTAGCTTTTTAGTTTAGAATTTTTTACTATTAAATTCAAATTTCATTTCTCATGGTGGGTTTCAAACCAATGTTCCCACAGCATTAGCCAAGGGCTTTAGAATATTAGTTCAATTATAGTCCCTCTATTGCACTGCTTTCTGTCTTAATCGTTAATTTCGGTCCATTGGTGATTGGCTGACCCATCTTTCTGACAAAAATATTGAGTAAAGAGAATCTTCCTTCTTTCGCTTTTCTAAAACAAAAGAATCATTTTCACATCAACTTGTCTTCATGAAGCATTGAGAGAACTGAGTGTTATTGAATCATAGGCAGATTTTATTATTGTGTCCACTTAAAACTGGCTTGGAGCTATATCAAAATCAAGGTCATAAACATACTCAACAGTGGTGCCTTAAGTATGGATTGAGTTCATTAGGACTCCAAATGTAAGAAGCTCAGTTAAAAACAAGTCTTCTGAAATGGCTTTGGACCTTCCATAAGGCTTATATTAATCAGAAGATCTTGAGCTCTCAATTTAGTGAAAATATGCAAGTTAACATAGTCGCAGAAGAAGCTGCTTTCTCATTAGAGATAAACTATTGGTGTGTTTAACCTGAAGGTTACATTCCTGAAGCGGGGGCAAGCTTGCGACGACAGGGCCTTCATGTGACCTTAGCTGGAATGGAAATTGAACCTGTGCTGTCACATCACTCTGTATCACAAACCAGCCTCCCAGTCCACTGGGCAAACTGACGCCAATTCAGTGAATGCTTAGTGAATTATTCAATCCCAATAGAAAATTGCATCACATTGAGGAAATGTGAGAACTTTTTTTTAAAAGAGAAACGTCAGATTTTGGTTGTTTGTCACTTTTAATATCTTGTTGAAATGAGCCAGGTGGTGTCAGTAACTTTTAAATCCTTTTAGATCGAGTACCAGCCATTTGAGAAGAATTTCTACATTGAACATGAAGATTTGGCGAAACTTTCACTCATACCATTAGCTGAACTCCGGCAGAAACTGAATTTGAGAGTAAGTTTAGAATTTTATCTATTAATACTTTGCATTATGTGTTGACAATAGTTGACAAATGAAAAGTTTGTTTTCTGTTGTTAAAAATTTCAGCTGAGTCTGCCTGAGGAAGTGAGCACCTAATCTTTGAATTCACGTGGCAATTTGGCCAAAGCTGATCAATCTGCTGAATGTTTTCTCTGACTAGCTTAGTGTAATGACAGTGATCACATTGTGTTCATCTGCACTGAATGGAACGTTGCCATCACTGAATTTTAGACCCTGTGTTTCAATCAGACAGGGAATGAACTCCCTGTGTTGTTTGACTTTCCCCTTTCAAGAACATTGCCCAATTTCATGTGAAACACTTACTGTCTACTTCTTATTAGCTGTGCCATGTCACGACTGAATTTATGTTGATGTGAAGTGCTTCAAGTCAGCTGAAATGTCTTTGTGTAAAATGAGAGTGATTACTCCATGTGTATCTACAGTGCAGTCTTTTTAAGCTTTGTTTTTATTGTTATGGCTCTGTCTGGATAACTCAGCTCCTTATCATCTTGCATGGATACACGACTGCAATGTTTGAGTTGTTGTTTTCCTGTCATCACTGTTTTAACATTTCAGGTACAGTTTTCACAGTTTATTGCAGAAGTATATCATACCCTTAAACTATAATTAAAGAGTGAAAAATCAGCTATCAAAGAAAGTTTGGCCTGAAGTTGGTAACCTGAGTTTATTTGCCATAAAGGTATGTTGAACAGTATTGAACAGAATTGAATGTTTCCCTCTCCAGGTGTCTGGTGCTGACCCCCCAAAACCTTGCAGTAGTTTTGCTCACTTTGGCTTTGATGAGCAGTTAATGCACCAAATACGGAAGTCAGAGTATACACAGCCAACACCAATACAGTGTCAGGTAAGAACTTAGGCATTTCACAGGTATCCTTTTTCTTGTTTACCCGAGGTTACAAATATTATAGACTGTTCTCAATCACATTTTCATGTTGATGGCTACCTATGATGAATTAAGAAGGAAAGTGAAGCTGAAACTAAGACCGGAAAAGAAAGAGTATGAAAATAGAATGACATTCCACATAAAAGGGAGCTACACTCATCCAGGCAATTGGAGAATATTCCATTACACTTCTGACTTGTCCCTTGTGGATAGGCTTTGGGGAGCTATTTGCTGCAGGATTCCAAGCATCCCACCCGATCTTGAAGCCATGGTATTTACGTGGCCCGTCCAGCTCAGTTTCTGGTTAGTGGCATCCCTCAGAATGTTGATAATGATGGGGGGATGGGGTGATTCAGTGATAATAATGTCATTGTATATCAAGGGCAACCTGTGGCACTTAGATGACACCAATGTTACTTACGACCTATGACTTAGCAGCCCAAACTAGACAAAACTCTTTACCAATAAATGAC